GGTTTAATGTTGTCGAAAGTCATAAAAAACAAAAAGGACAGATCTGCATATGTGGCTTCCAGAGCTTTCCTCGCAGATGTCCTATATATGTTCAGCAAGGTACATTCTTTTACTGAATTGTCATCCTACAAATATCCTTGCTTCCAATACAGTGGTTTGTAGACAAAAATTATCCTTTCTAGCTGGCCTACACTCTGAAATGTATATGCTTCCTGCTTTTGTGGCCCATTCGGCAGTTAGAGTAGAAACAGATGCTGTGGGGATATTTCATTGTCAAGCAATCGCTTAAACCAGTATGCGATCCTGTTTCTTAGCTGCTTGACCTTGTGGTTCAAATGTGGATCTGTTCAGATCCACTAATGTTTATCTGATTCAATGACTACCAATAGCAACATTTAGCAGACTTTCTGATTTTATTGGTTGAAACTCATCGTAAATTGCCTTCAACAGGAAAACTATCTATGTTATCTAAATGACACGTGACACACATGGCCATGTCTACCTGGCCACTGTTTGAAATCAGGCTTTGGCAATCCGATCCTGTGCAGACCTAAGCGATTCAGCATTTATGGGAACTGGAAGCTGTCAGTGTCTCATGACGCTGGCCTGTGGAGGAATGAATGAGCATTATGGAAGTTTTCTTGCAGGTTACTTGCAGCCACCCTGCTCTTCTGTTCCGACTTGCACCAGCCTTACGATAATCCTGATTCTTTCTTGACATCCTGCCAGTCGCTCCAGCTTCTGAGGTGCTTGTGATGCTGGCAAGCATCCAGAAATAGAAGCCAAGACTTAAATTTCTGTTTCACACTTTCTGAAAGGAAGAGAAGTTAAAATATATATTTTATGTAACTAACCGCTTGAGTCAACTCAGCTGACTGTGCAGATTATCTTGGCAAACAAACCAAAGAGAGAAATAGCTTAATCTAACATTATTGCACTCAAGTAATCTGGGCATTTTCCTAGCTTGAGTGCTCAGGCAGTTTGCAGTTGTATGTAATTACCCAAGCTGCAGGAACTCGCTTTGTCAGACACAGATAACTTTTCCTAGGTCCTACAAAGAGAATGCAAAACGTGAAAAAGAAGAATTTAATAGACCTTTGTCACTGAGCTATCTGACACGGTATCGTTTGGTGAGCTCTGATTTAGAGGCAGACAGCTGGCGCTAATACCAGGAACCAAGAAAAAGGCAGAGTGAATCATTCTGTCCAGCCAATTCATTTACATTCCAGCAACTGATAGCTATTTACTGTGCTATCTGACATGATAGGGGAGTTGGCTACTTCTTAGAGCAGTTCTAGGGAGATATGATTCCTTGACGATTCTTTTCTGTTACTTTTACATTTGTTTGCTCATCTGTACCCAAATGTTTCGTTTTGTTTGTTTGTTTCTATGAGAGATTAAAGGGCACATGCTACCCATTTTCTCACATTTATTTAGTCACTTAAATTTATTTTTCCAAAGTTGCATACATTCAGTTTCCAGATTAAAAAAAATATAAATTAACAGAATAGATTTTGAATTGTTTTCAGTGTGCACAGTGGGCTATGATACTCTTGTGGGCTAGCTATGAATTTGGCATTTTGGCAGGCTCTCAGCTTACTTTTTCACCTCCCATCTGTTCTTGGATGGGAGTCATGCTGCTGTTGCTTTAGTCTCTCCCAGATTTCTTCTGACTTCAACTCTGGTGCACTTTGTATTTGTGCCAATAAGAATCTACTGGTATTAAATTCCATTAATGCATGAGTAATTAAGCTGATGTCCTCAGTGCCTGGAATAGCATTTTGAAGAGGTTTATAGACTTTGCTGCTTTGTATTGGCTTGATGACAGGGTGCCAGATGGTTTTGTTCTGCCAAATAGCCTTATAATTTGTTAAATGATAAGAACCTTAAAACTGACTCATCCGTTTACAGGTATGCTTGAAATTTCACTGTTGGTCTTTTCAGGCAGTCAGAATTTAATATTTAGAGTCTCAGTTTTATTTGTGCAATTCTCTTTTTCTCGTCCGGTTAATTTTTTATTCAGATTTTCTGTTGGTTATGTGAGTCTTTGAGCCAGTAAGGATGACAGTGAATATTGCATCCTTCTGCGCTCTGGGGTGGCTCAGTGTTAGAGCAGTATTATAGTCCAGATTCCCCCAGTTTAGGGGATTCTGATGTTCCCACCTATACCTGCTTTCCATTCCATTCCAAGCACATGGTGACATTAAACAAAATTTAAACAACTATCGATCCTAACAGCTCCAGGGTGTCACCTGTCACTGGAAAGTCCTGTTTCTGGGATGACAGCGTTAATATGGCTCTGAAATCAGCTTCTACTTTCAAGTGGATCCAGTTTTTTTATCAGCTTTTTGAATTTCATTTGTTCCTGTCATAATTAGTCATTTTATTATCTTCTTCCTAATACTCTGCTGTGATCCCAGCTGGAAGTGGTTCCCAGATTACATCAAACCTAATTATGCTTTCATTGATTTATCTAAACATCTTGACTTTTTCAAATTCAACTTGTATTCTTCCATTTAGGAACATATAATGCTGGATTTAGAAGGTTAAAAGATGAAGCTACAAACAGA